CCAGCCCTGCAGAGCCTCCGCAGCCTCCTGGGGGTCCCTGCACCCCCCACCCTCCTTCAGGAAAAGGAACCAGGCTCCAGCCCAAGCCACATCCAGCATCACCCAAGGAGGAGCTGGATGCTCAGAGCCCCCCACATTCCCCTTGCCCCCCAGGGACACTGGGCAGGGCAGAGATTTCGGGGTCCCTGCAGGACCACACTCAGTGACTCAAGGCCGTGGAGGGAGGGCTGCAGCAATGGCACCAGGCTCCTCCGTACTGCTCAGCCTCTGCCCCAGCCTGGAGCCATCAAAAATGCTCATTTTTAAAAGAACCTTGTCCTTCCCTGCAAGCACCGCTGCCTCACCGCTGCTCTGCAGCCCCAAAATGGCTCAGAGAGGCTGGGAGAGCATCACACGGGGGTGCAGAGCGGTGTGCAGCCAGGCACAGGGGTGCACAACCTTTCACAGGGCTGCACAACCATGCAGAGCGGTGCACAGCCAGACACAGGTGCACAACCAATGCACAACCGGGCACAGCAGTACATGACCATGCACAGCCCTGCACGGTAGTGCAGGACAGCAGGCAGGACAGCAGGCAGCAGTGCAGGACAGCAGGCAGGACAGCAGGCAGTGGTGCAGGACAGCAGGAAGGACAGGAGGAAGGACAGGAGGACAAGAGGCAGCAGTGCAGGACAGCAGGAAGGACAGCAGGAAGGACAGGAGGCAGCGGTGCAGGACAGGAGGACAACAGGCAGCAGTGCAGGACAGGAGGAAGGACAGCAGGCAGCGGTGCAGGACAGCAGGCAGGACAGGAGGACAACAGGCAGTGGTGCAGGACAGCAGGAAGGACAGTAGGACAACAGGCAGAGGTGCAGGACAGCAGGCAGGACAGGAGGACCAACAGGCAGCAGTGCAGGACAGCAGGCAGGACAGAAGGCAGGACAGCAGGCAGTGGTGCAGGACAGCAGGAAGGACAGGAGGAAGGACAGGAGGACAAGAGGCAGCAGTGCAGGACAGCAGGCAGGACAGCAGGCAGCGGTGCAGGACAGCAGGCAGGACAGCAGGCAGTGGTGCAGGACAGCAGGAAGGACAGGAGGAAGGACGACAGCAGGCAGGACAGGAGGACAACAGGCAGTGGTGCAGGACAGCAGGAAGGACAGTCGGACAACAGGCAGAGGTGCAGGACAGCAAGCAGGACAGCAGGCAGCAGTGCAGGACAGCAGGCAGGACAGCAGCAGCAGTGCAGGACAGCAGGCAGCAGTGCAGGATAGGAGGACAACAGGCAGAGGTTCAGGACAGCAGGACAGCAGGCAGCCCTTCCGTAGCAATCCCCAGCCCTGCACCTGGCTGCTCCTGCACCCGCTGCCATTTCCCTTTTCCAAGCAAATAAAGCAGGAGCAGAGCTGCGGATGACGCCAGCAGCGCGAGCAGCACGGGATGGCTCAGCTGCAGCACGGAAAACTGTCCCCAAAGCCCCTTGCCTGGATTCTGCTGCCTCCGGGGCTGAGCTGAGCTGCGTTTCCTTCCGCGGGGTCAGGGGGGTTTGCAAAAAGTTTGGTAAACCCCCAATCAGTCCCTGCACGGACCCGCAGCGCGAAGGCCGAGCCCGGGTTTATGTGACTTCAGGAGCTGCAGCAGCAAAGTGGTTTTTCTTTCGATGGCACCCAGTGAGAGCAGCCCCTGGCTCGCATCCGTCCTCTGCTTCCCAGCCACCTCCTCCTAAAGCGTCACACCAGGGGGTAAAAACCAGATGGGGAGCCCTTTTCCCCACGCAGCCCCGGGAACTGTGCAAATATTTTGCCTTCTCCCCCCTCCCCCCAAAATAGCAGCAATAAACACCTTTTTGCTCTTACCTGCACCACGCTCATGGGGAGGCGGGCGTTGCTTGCTGTTGGTGCCTTCAGGTTGTAATTGGGTTTTTTTTTTGCTTGTATCCTGAACTCTGCCACACTGGCTGAAAGCGAAGCCTCATCAGATGCATTAGAAAGTTCCCATTTTTGTCCCAGTTTAGACCAGAACAGGACTGGGTCCAGACTGAAACTGTTCTCCCCCTAGTCCTGCCCTCCGAGCATCCTCAGCAGAAGCGGCTACCTCCAAGTCACACATCCACCTTCCTCCGCACATCCGAGCTGCCCCTTCTTTCCCAGGACTATTTCTACTCTGCAGGACATTCACTTGGCCTCTTCCTTTAAAAAAAAACCCTCCTAATATTTAGCATCAGGCCCTGTTTTGGTGTTATCCTTTCCGTTCCCCTCTGCAGGTCTCCCAAACAGCAAAGGGGGAGCATGGCCTGCCAGCGATGTACAAAACTACCTATTTTTCCCTCCCCAGTTTGGGGTGAAATGGGACTGTTTCAGGTCCCCAGGCTTTGCCTTAAGATTATTTTAGCTCTCATGCAGCTGAACACAAGGGGAAATTTAAGCAGCTGCACACAACAGCAGCGCGGGGTCATCCCAGGTGAGAGGACGTGGATCTACAGCTTGCGACTGAAGCAATCGGGCACTTGTATTTATTTTTTTAATGTAAAAATAATAGCAGGTCCTACACCTGCACCTGAAGTATTGAGGTTTTCAAATCACACCTTCCTGTTCCTCTCATGTCTCTCTCGGGTCCTTGTCTGAAGACCAAAAAGGGGGAACAAACAGTGTTGGACCACCAGCGAAACCGAGCACGCAAACCCCTGCCAGAAATCACACCCCCCCAGCTTTTTTTTTTTTACTTGCAATTAAGATCACCTCAAAATACAAATTGTTTAATTTGGGCCTTGAATCAAGTCAAGCTTTCTGCCCTTATTGCCTCCAGCTTGGAAAACCATGCAGGTTTTACATTCCCTCTGAAAATGCATGAGGATACCAGCAAGGAATTGGGGCTTTGGGCCAGCTCGGAGGCAAAAATTAGCCAAAGCCGTCTAAGAATTGAGAGAGAAATTCTGGAGAAAACAAGTAAATGTCCCAATAAAATGCAAGTGGCCACACAACTGCTTTTGACCTGCAGAAACACTTGCCCAACCCCCCCAGGGAAGCAGCCTGGGTCCTTACCCCACACGGACAGGGCTATTTGGAGTGGGGTTGCGCTCATCTGCTTTTGGGGAGCAAGAATTAGCCAATAAAAGAACAAAAATTAAGTGCATAGAGGGCTTGCGAGCGTTTGCCCAGCAGCGTGGGAGCACGGGAAGTGGGGCTCACCAGGCCGATTTTCTGCCCAAGGTGAGAAGAGTAGAGCCCGGCTGGTTCCAGATGTTTCCCAACTGTAATTTAATAATTGGAATATTTTCAACAGAGCGCAATTTTCCTTGATGACTGCCCAGTAGGTACTGACAATTAAAGCGGTGTTTGAGTGCTGAGACAGTAGATTTGTTTGTGCCTCTTTTATTTATTCCCTCTCAAGTGCCAAAACAAGAAAACCTGGAGTGTTTTTTTTGATTTCTTGACCTCGAGCAGTTTTCCCAGGGGAGAGCATTTGGGATGCGAGCAGCATTTCACACACCTGGAAGAAGCTGGAAAATCCCCAACTTACCCATGAAATGGGAACGAATCCTGAGCAGCAAGGCCAGCCGGGCACTGCCCCTCTTGCCACCAGGCATCTTCCCACCTCAAGGAGCGAAAACAATCCCAGTGCCGCAGCAGGACAGAGCTTGGGATGCCTGGAGATGGGTGACAGGACTCTGCGTCAAACCCAAGGAGAAACCACAACTTCACTCCTTATTTTAAAGGAATTAAATACAGCAGTGAAGCCCCGAGTTGCCGTGCAGAGCGGAGACGACGAGGTCTGCGTCCTCGCTACGCCACAGAGCGGGCAGCGCTGGAAAGGGAGCGGCAGACAACAGTGATGCTCAACAGGATCTCACGTTTATTATTGAGAAGTGATTAATGGTGAAAAGAAAGGCAACGCCCATTCCTCATTGGCTTAACAAGAAACTGAAGAAACATATTCACTACACATTTTACAATATTTTTTTTTTGTCCAAAATTCATTTTCCTGTAAACAAAACAAGTTTTTACCACTGTTCTCAGCTTTCAAAATCAAATTAATCCAGGCTTAATCTGTAAATCCGTATAATGCACAAGAACAGAACATTTCTTAGGACTCCTAGTACTTGACTTTGAGTAACAAAGGGTCAGAGAAAAATGAACCACCTTTAAGACACAACCTCATGGACAATTTCTGTTCAATTCTTCTTAGGCCAAAACCCCAACTTCCTCATAGAACTCCTCCTCTTCCAGGCCGGGGAGGGAGGGTGGGGGGCAGGGAGAAAAAAGAAAAAGTTACTCCACTTTCCATGGTGGATGTTACAACTCGGTGTTCCAAGTGCAAATGTCAAAACCAGGGGAAGGAGGCGCAAGGGGGTGGAAGGAAGGGAAGCAGCGGGGTTTAAAAATTAGAGAGAGAAAAAAAAAGGCATATGCCACTTACGGACTTTAAAATCCGAAAAAACATAGTAAAAAGACAAAAACCAAAGCGTATGCTCTGAAATCACAACCAAAGCCAAAAGAAAGGGGACAGTTTTTACCTATACTCTACCTAGAAGGGATTTTTTTTTGTTGTTTTTGTTTTTTTAAGTCCTATGTCTTGTGAAATTCCAATACTTTTTTTTTCTTTTTTTAAACTGCAAGTTTGTAAGAGTCTTTTTTTAAGTCAATGAAATTAAGAAAAAAAAGTCCTAATTCTCTCTGGGATGTTTTTGCTCTTTCTTTCTCTTTCTGAAAGACAGCGGGGATGCAATCTCTGCTGCAGTCTCTGTGGGAGCAATGGCCTTTTACTTGACACGGCCTTGGCGTTCCTGCAAAAGAAAAAGGAGAACATCACATTAGCAGGGAGCAATTTTATTCATCGCTTTCACACATCAGCATTTCAAGCTGTGAATCTGCGGTGGAGGCCCGTCCCATGCAAGCAAAGCCCAAGAAAGACTATTCCTGTTTGCAGAGGAGGGGCTGTGACTGCGTACGGCTACGGCGACGATGCATCGCGCTGCTTGGGTCTGCCAGCTCATCACGTTTCCCCTTTACGAGGGCTGGTGATACACCGCAGCTCCGCTCCTCTTCCTCTCCTTCTCTGCACATCCAGAGAAGGGCGATGGAGCCGGGGAGGGGTCTGGAGCCCAAGGCTGCTGGGGGAGCTGGGGGTGTTCACCCTGGAGAAGAGGAGGCTGAGGGGAGCCCTCATCGCTCCCTACAACTGCCTGACAGGAGGGGGGAGTGTCGGGCTCTCGCTCCAGGGAATGGGCGATGGGACAAGGGGAAACAGCCTCAAGTTGCACCAGGTTGGACATTAGGAAAAATTTCTTCCCCAAAAAGGTTGTCAAGCACTGGAATGGGCTGCCCAGGGAAGGGGTCGAGTCCTCATCCCTGGAAGGATTTAAAAGTCAGGCAGACGAGGTGCTTAGGGACATGGTATAGTGGTGGGATGGCAGGGTTAGGGTAAGGGTTGGACTTGATCTTAAGGGTCTTTTCCAACTTAAACAATTCTGTGATTCTATGATTCCTTGCTCATGGCAGCATCCTTTGGCAGAGTTAAGGGCTCTCCCCAGGACAGACAGCAGCAGGTTGCTCCAAACTAGAGGCATAACAGCTTAAAGAACAACGGGGGTGGGGGGAATGGGACAGACACACCAAACCCACAAACCCAGCAAGGACAAACTGAGGAAGAATTGGTGGAAAAAAAGTGACTCTAGGTCAGTGATGAAGTTTGCAGCTGCAGTCAGCGTGGGCTGGGAACAGGAGGGACAAAGCTCCCCGTTTCTGGGCACAGACCCACAGCACCCATGAGACATCTCAATCTCAGCCATCACCAGGCTGGAAACCAGTAAAGCAGAGCTCTGGGCTGGAGAAGACTCGGGCAGCTTTGGGAGCAGCACTCAGGACTGCTGCAGGGATCAGGCAGAGCCCCTGCACCGGGGAGAAGGAAGAGGAAGCGAGGAACGAACGCAGGGCCTGCGGCACAGCTCTGCCTGTGTCCAGCCACTGCCGGCGCGGGGCAGCCCGGCTCCCCGGGCATTGCACAGACCCATAGCTTCACCTGAGCTCACATGTGAGCATCCAAGCAGACTGCAGCTCAAACCTTGGGAGCACCGATGTCTGCTTCGGTCTGCAGGGACTGAGCTAGCCCACAGCTACCAGCAGAACACCTCAACGATAACTCTGAAACCTACTGATGGCATCTCACTCGAAACCCAACAGGTTCACGGGGGTTTCCCACCAACCGCTGCTGTCACCCCCTCGGTGTTCATCTACATCTCTCCTCCAGCACTGAAGGAACACACTGTCCAGACAAACATTTGCACCAAGCTGAACAGGCAGCACAGCACCAAATACATCAAGGGCTACTACACCTCCTCTTGTGCCGTGCCAGTTTCTCTTCTTTGTTAAACCCAGACACAGCAGCTTTGCACAGAACTGAGCCTAGACTCTCCCGAAGGGTTAAGAGATGCTGCCCAGCCCACCTTCGGAGGGCCATTTCCAGCTCACATGGCACCACCTCAAAAACAAAACCTGTCAACAGCTAAAGGGCTCTTGGCTGATGCTCCTCTCAGTCTCTTAACTGCGTCTTCCCCGAGCACAAGGCAAGCCCCTGCAGTCTCTTGTGTGAAGGGCACTACGGTGTTTTGGCTCTAGCTCCCATGCTCAGTGGTGGAGCGAGTTACTCGTCACCTAAGCCAGCCTCGAGAGATGCCAAGTCCGTCCCACCTCCGCAGCAAAGCAACACCTGCAGTAGGTGCCCGCTGGCAGAGCAAGACAATGTGGGTTCTCCCTTGTGTTAACTTGTGTCACTTAGAGAGAGGGGACAACTGTCAGGGCTCTGACAAACTGAAATCTGGTTGTTTCAGCTCAGGATGCTTCCCTGCAAGTCTGCTGCTCTGCCCGGGGCTGAGCAGAGCTGCCTGCCCACCTGCCCCACGTTAACCTGGTGATCAGAGGCACCGTCCCTTCCACCTTGGCAGCTTGCTGGCAGGGGGAGCATGCAACCTCTGCCAGAAGCACGCGGGTTGCTTGAAGAAAGGTCCTCTGCCAAATCCATGCAGAGCTCGTCTCTGAGAAGCTTCGATCCCAGGCTAACAGCATGTAACGCCACCTATGCTTAAAAACCTTCACAAAAAAGGAGGCCTTGCATCCAGCTTAAACCAATACCCCAGGCTTTGGCAGCCCCAGCCACATGCACATGGTGACCCAAGAAGGCTTCAGCTCCAACTCCCCTGCACAAGCTGGAAGACAAAGCAAGCCCTGGGTGATACCATGCACAGATTGCCTTCTGGGGAGAGGGATTAGACAAAGGCACACATTCTCTTCAAGAATATTTGCCTCACATAAGTCGACTTAATTCTCCTCTTCTCCAGTAAGTCTGCCCAAATCTGTTGCAGGTGCTATTTGTTGCTAAACTACACCATTGCACAACAGCAACCCCCCCCACCCCCAAGCCTACCATGGTGGGAAGCAAAGCCAGTCTCGAACATTAAGTAAAACAAGTGCTGCAGGGAAAGCCACAAATCAAAAGGAAGGTGCCAAGCCCTGTTTCTTCTCTACTGCCTGGCTCAGCAGCCAGCATGTTACGTTAAACAAGGACAGATGGCAACGTGACGCATTCCTTCGGGAAGGAGCCGCAACTGCCTGAGCTAATGCCTCAGCCTTCCCAAATGCAGACACGAGATAAGCTGGTGGCCAGGTTCAATCGCCCCCGCCCCACCTTGGCAGCCAGGGCCAGTGTCCCAGGCTGGCTGCAGACAGTGCCCAAGGATCCTGCTGAGCACATCGCCCCGTTAGCCGACCAGATGGACCCCAATTAGTCACCACTTCTCCCTGCTGTGAAGGTGAAGCTGCTCCCGAGGCCAGTGTATGATTGACACAGGGAGCACGAAACCAGACCCAGCCTTGGTGCAAAAGTGACACTCACTCCTCCTCCAAATCCCAGTGTGCCAGAATAGGAGGCATCACCTTCAAAAGAGAGGCTAGAGCACGTGTCCCCAAGCTAGAGAGGAGACCAGAGACATGCCCAAAGTGAACATCTTAATTTCAGGGTGGATTATACCCCAATTTTTCCTCAACCGTCTTCTGTTTAAAACTTCCTGCTATTCAGCCTCAAAATACTGGCGCAGAACTACCCACTCCCCTCCACCAGCGCTGCAAACAGCATCCTAAGGAGTCTGTAACAGAAAAAAAAATGCAACATGACATCTAACCACACCGGCTGCGAGCTCTCAAGAGGATAACTTCAACACCTACATCGGGCTGTCCTGCTGTCCACAAAGAGCAGGGCTTTAGGCACAGCCAAGCACCCCAGGAGCTGCGGAGGCAGCCAGCCAAGAGCTCTGCCCAGCCAAGCAGGCACTGTCGAGGGCACTGCTGCCAGGGCTCGATGGCAGGGAAGGAACAGCTCTCTGCTCTCCACTAATTTCAGTATTTCTTTTCTTGCTCTTCTCTGGGAGATTCAGAGCTGCTCTCTTGCATCTCCTCCTGGGAAAGGGGGATAGCCAGGGCCTGAAGGGTTTTTTCCACCATCTAATCTGCCAGCCCAACTGCAGCACATCCCATGGAACACATCTTGATCCTCAGGGTGTTGTGGAGTTACAAGCGAGCACCCAAATCATAGCAAAGCAGCAAACGGATCTACCAGAACACATAGCAAAGGTCAGCTGTGTTGCAAACATTCACCCTTCCCGGCTCATCTTCCTTTGAAATCACGGGCTGTGGGTTACACCATCCCACAGCTCACCCGGCTACGGGACAGCCCAGGAGAAGGCAGAGCAGCATCTGCATGCACACGCTGGGCTTTGCTCTTGTCCTTGGAGGGCAATGAAATTCCATGGGAAAGTGTTTTATTCTCTTCGGCTGCACTTTTGTTAGACCTGGGACATGTAGTCTTGATCGACGTAGGAGGAGCAAGAAAAAGTCACCAGCTCCAACTCTCATCTCCATCTATCAAATCCCTCAGAGAGAGGAGGGGGGCAGGAGCACGGCAGCACTGAAATGGCCGAAGCGCAAAGCGATACGCCGATTGCTAGAAAGACGCATGCCATCGCTCAAATCAAGTGCTGACACCCACACATCACTGCGAGCGTGCTTCTGGGCTGGTGGTGTGTAGAGGCGCCAGGCTCAGACAAGGCAAGCATGGGTAAGTAGGAGCCCTCTGTAATCAACCTGCTTAAGCCACTTCAGTCACATCACCGCCGTCCCCGGGGGGGGGGGGGGGGGGCACTGCTGCAATGTCACAAGCCAGGTCCTGATAATAGCAACTGAACGAGCTGGTGGAGAAGGCTGATGACAGATTATGTTATCTAGTCACACTGTGGGGAGCCAACAACAACAAAAGGCTCAAGAGTTTGTACAGAGAAACGATGACAGTAGGTGATAACGCTGCACATTTGCTCAGAGGCTCTTACCTTGATTAACAACTAATGTCCAACCGCAATACTCCTCTGGCAAAGGTAAGGATATTATTGCCATGCTACAGATGGGGAAATAGGAGACTATAATCAAAGGGAGGGCCTGGAGAAGAACCAAGAGCAGCCTCCCAGCTGAGCAGCACACAAACCACAGTTTATTTGGACCTGGAGCAGAGCGTAGTAGGCTGAAGACATCAGGCAGGCCAGGAAGCAATCTCAGTTTCACTGAGAAGGTCCTACAAGCAAAAGGCATCATTTGCCCAGTAACTGCCCACAAAGCAGATCACTTCATGAGAGTATGGTCTACACTATCCCGGTATCATTCCTCAAAGGGCTGAGACACCCAGCAATCAATTACTGGCCTTAAGACACCCACATACCACTCTGGCTTGCAGACACCTTGCTCA